GGGAGGGGAGGGAAGGGGAAGTGAGGCCATAGTACTAACTTCTCTAGGAACTGAGCAAGATTACAAGCTTGATATTGAAAAATTCGGAGTATTCGTAGTTATACAAACATCAAGACCAAAAGAATTACAAGAAGAGTAATTCTGGAAACCAAAACAATAAGGAATAGTAATACACAATAGGCTGCGTGTTTGCATGTGGAATGAGCAAACTTCTCTGGCTACTTGTGGGGGACGAAATGCGGGTAGAGGTTCGATATATGTTCATGCATGAAGTCATGCCTTGTTAAGATTCCAGCGATTGGAGCCCTCTACAAATTCAAAACATCTACATTTTCAGGACATTATTGTAAAGTAGTAGAATGCAGAATAAGATAACACAAAGTCATCAACCTTCTTCTCAAGCAAAAAGTGCATAACAAGAACACGAAAACCACGCCCCAACCCCCCGAATGCATGGATCCACTTGTATGCAACTGTGATGTATTAGCACATGTAATATTGCAGATATAAGTTAATGCGTTTCAACTCAAGCTATCGACATCTAAGAATTGTCACAACATATTCAATGGATTTCAAATTAAATACTTTTGATTGAGATGTCATTTGAAATACTTAGTATTTAAGTATCACTAATCATTGATGGTTTTGAAATCCTTACTCCCACCATAGTTTACTAAATGAAGTTCCAATCCGTCCAAATGGGCCTAGATGATCCTAGTTCCCAAGTTTCCACAACAACAACAACAACAACCCAGTATAATCCCACTAGTGGGGTCTAGGGAGGGTAGTGTGTACNACCTTACCCCTACCATAAGGTAGAGAGGCTGTTTCCAATAGACCCTCGGCATCCTTCCCTCCAAGAACTCCCCACCTTGCTCTTGGGGTGACTCGAACTCACAACCTCTTGGTTGGAAGTGGAGGTTGCTTGAAAACTAATAATGCAGATCATACACATTATGTACTAAACCAAGGTACAAAAGGAGATCAAAAAAGAAAATTCGGAAAAAATGGCAAAAGAAACAGGGGACAGAGTGGGGTGGAGAGAGGGGAAGGGGGGAGAAGGACTTACCCCAGTTTTCTTTGGGACAACACACAAGTGTCTGAGTCCAA